TCCAGGTGATGGATGGCACCTGGGGACACGAGGGGAAGACGATCCAAGGGACTGTTGAGTGGACTGCCTTTCTCAATGTACTTGGAGTCTCCCTTACTCATCTGGGGGTGGTCAGGTACATCAAGGCTGAAGACCTTGGCACTCTTGATGGAGCCACTGGAAGAGACACTGCAGGTTTTCCTGGTGACAGCAGCATCTGCACTGAGTTGGCGCTGCAGGGGATGATGGGAGCTCTCCTTGTAGGATGGTGAGAGGAAACTTGGTCGTTCCAGCCCACTGGATGAACCAGCTGGTATGGACTGGCATTCAAAACCCATGTCAGAGTCAACGCCACCCCCTCCCCCCAAGAAAGAAGCTGTGTCCAGCTTGAGGGCATCAATGCAGTTGTTGATTATCTGGTTCACCTTATCTACTTCCTTGGCAATTGTTGAAATTTCAGCAGCTGAACCTTGCCCATTGTCCAGTTCGTGCAGGTCATCGTCCCTCTGAGACCTCTCCAGCCCATCCCCTCCTCCTGTCCGAACCTCAATATAATTGCCCTTGGTGGTAACCTTGGGAGTCTCCATGCCAGTATCCATAGATTTGGTTGGGGGCATCTTCTCACCAATCATGGATGGAAGAGAGGACATCCGTGAGACAGGGATGACCGGTGGCTCTCCCAGCTTCTGGGATGGATGAACAATTGAACTGGTATCAATATCTGAGCCGTAACGCATCTCTAGAATGGTTTTCTTGACGTTGAGGGATTTTTGCTTCTCCTCTTGCATTCTGCGCTTCCTCAGGCAATAATAGACAATGCCAAGGATAATAACCATTCCAAAAAGGCAGCCTAATATGGTCATGATGTAGTGGGTAGTGGTGGAAGTGTTGGGCATTGGGTCTTCTCTCCCTTTGCTCCTGGTGGCAAAGGAGAGGCAGGTGTGGTTATAACGTTTGGAATTGCGTATAGAAGCCACACAGAATGTATAGTCAGTGTGAGCCTTCAGGTGGGTGAGAGTGACAACCTCCTTCTTCTTCTTCAAAGTCATTACATCAGAGATGTAGCTGTTATTGTACTGAACCAGTACATACATCTTGCTGAACGGTGATGGGATTGTGACCACCAGGGCAGCTGAGGTGATAGTCACCTGCTGGAGCTTGATGCTGGGGTTAAAGGAGGAATCCGTGGTGGAAGATGCCGGTGGCTCAACCGAGAGGAAGTCTCCAGGGCTAATGCCGGAGTTCTCAGCATTGTCGTCTGGGTCCCTTTGAGAATCCGGCATGAATGGTGTGGGATTGATCCTGGTAATGGATGGGAAGGGGCCATCTCCACACATCGACTTGAAAATGGTGATGGCATTGCGGCTGTGGTGTGGCCGAGGCACAAGAAGTGGGTAGCCAGCGAATTCCCGAGGAGTCTCACACTGCAGACGGTCATAGTTCTTTGTGACATTGTTGAAGGCCACCAGCCACATGAGGAAACCGTAGAGGTTGCAGTCGCAGTTGAAGGGGTTCCCAGCCAGTTCGCACACCATCAGATTGCTCAGGCTGGTGAAAGTGCTGCCGTCTAGCCGGCTGAGGCGGTTGGAGGACAGGTCGATGCTGATGAGGCTGGGGCATTCCACGAAAGCGTTGGGAGTGACCACCTCGATCAGGTTGTGCTGCACGAAGAGGAACTGGAGGCGGCCCATGCCGCGCAGCATGCCCTCGGTCAGGTTGGTGAGCTTGTTGTAGCCCAGCTGCAGCACCTGCAGATTGGACTGCCCCATGAAGGCGCCATCCTCGATGTACGAGATCTCGTTTTTCGTTAGGTTGAGGTCAGTCAAGTTGCCAAAGCGGTTGAGGGAGGAGTAGAGCACCACCTTGAGCTTGTTCTCGTTTAGCCGCAGATCGTGCACGGTACTGTTGATGTGCTGGGGGATAGTCTCGTACGGAGGCTGGTTCTGGCTGCAGATAGCGAGCCATACGTAACCTTTATCACCTTCGATCAGCCAGCAGTCACTGCGGACCACACCGGGGGCACAAATCCAGAGCAGGATAGCCACCCAAAATCCCAGACGGAACATGATGGGCTAAGGTGCCCCCTTCAGGCTAAAAGAGGCAATTTCAGCTCCAAAAAAATAGTAGGAAGGAATGGTTAGAGGACGAGTGACACCCTTGGGGCTTAGCAATCACAGGGCACAGGCGCCCCAGTTCTATCTGATGCCACCATTGTCACAGACGCCCCATTTCACGCAAGGACAGTGCTGTCAATCAGGGCAAAAACTGTACTGGGGGGGAAATATTTGTGCTTCTTCTCAAAGCAAAAGAAAAATGAAACACACAACAATGAATCTTCTTTGTGCAACTCCCCCACACCCTCCCTTCCACAACACCATGACGTTCTTCGGAAAACTAAGGCAGAGCTGCCTCCCCGTCGCTAAGATTCCTTGAGCGCTGCTTCCTCCTCCTCCTTCTCTCAAGGGTCCCCTCCAAGATGCTTCAGAACTTCAGATCAAAGGGAAAAAACATATATGGGGAGAGGAGGAGAAAGGGGGGGGAAGGTAAAGAGGGAGAAAGAAAAAGAGGGAGAGATCCATCTGTCACCGAAATCTGGAAAGGAAACACACAAGAGACAAGAAGAAGCATCAGTTAGGGGGGCTTTGAAATATGCAAAAAGACAGCAAGGTTTGTTAGTTTCACAGGGACCTGGGGAAACTGAACAGAGAGCATTTGGGAAGGGGGGGGTAGATGCCTTGGATTAGTATTGTCTGCTACACTGATACACTTTGGCAAAGGGAACTCTCGTAACATAATCTTGTATATCAGTGATAGCCAGAAGGGTACTTGGGTTCTGTTATGTAACAAACACACAGTCTTGTGAAGAGGGGTAAGTGGAGAACACAGGAGATGGGGAGGAAGGGGTGGGAGAAAGGCGGATGTACAGCTGCGTTTCTGCCAGCTTAGCATCCCCCCCCCCCGCCTCCCTTCAAGGGGGATTTTCAGCTGTCCCGCTCAAGAAAATCTCCCTCTCTCGTGTGCTTACACACACACACACACACACAGAGCAGCAGATAAATAAATAAGGCTACTAACTAAATGATTTTCTTTTCCTTGATGCAAAAAGATAAATAATTCATTTGTTGTATAACTGCTCTCATTCCGAAAATAATTCTCTCGCCTTA